ACATTCTCAGAACTATCCAATTTTTGAGCATGTCCTTTTTTTCTACAAATAATGCAAGCATCTCTTTCCCCTGTGAAGGTCTAGAAAATCTGGTGCTGACCTATGTCAATGCCATCAGCAGTGGGAACCTGCCCAGCGTGGAGAATACAGTCTTGGCCTTGGCCCAAATCAAGAATTCAGCTGCAATACAAAAAGCCATTGCCCACTATGACCAACAGATGGGCCAAAAGGTGCAGCTGCCCACGGAAAACCTCCAAGAGCTGCTGGACCTGCACAGGACCAGTGAGAAGGAAGCCATCGAAATCTTCATCAATAATTCCTTCAAGGATGTGGACCAAAGGTTCCAGAAGGAATTAGAGGTAATTAATATTCTTTGCTCTGCTCCTGGGGCTTACATGTAATACAAGTATTTCTATGAAATGCAAAATGGGGACTTAAGAAAAGCAATTTTTACTAGACTGGAAAATAATGACTCTTATATGATCAAGATATCACTTTTATTCTGAAAACAAACGAACAAGCAACATGTAACTACTCTGGGTTGTATGGATTTTAATACTTTCACACACTCACAACTCACCATGTTACAACCATGGACTAATTTTTTTAAATTAATCTTATTCTTTAAAAATTACATCCATACAGTATTAATTAACTTTCCTTTTATATCAATCAAGTACACAGAATTGCCAAATGGTTCTACTAAAATATCATGTCTCCAGGTTTCATAGCATCCACTCATATCATTCTAGCCAATTATTCCACTCCACCTCCTTGTTGGGAATCCAAGGCCCAGGAAAATACAGAAACAAGGAATGGTCATAAATGAGTAGGTTGTACAAAAAATTAGGGCCTGAGGTTAGATATCTGTAGTCTGAAGATCACATCTAAAGCAGAAATATCAAAGAAATGGGTTTCAGGAGATTTGAAAAACAAAACTAAAGTCATTTTTCTATATCATAACATCCTTGGAACTTTCCTAGGCTTGGTAGGAAGGATATAGTCTTACTGTTTTTCTCTAGTTTCTAGAAAATCAATAGAGATTCTCTCTGAGAATCACTTGTAGAAATACTGAAGTATCGCTAACATCTTTTCCATGGGCTTTTGTCCCTTTGAAGACCCTGCTGGAAGCAAAACAAGATGATTTTCGTAAGCAGAACTTGGAGGCATCATCAGATCATTGCTCAGCTTTACTTCAAGGTATTTTTGGTCCTCTAGAAGAATATGTGAAGCAGCGGGTTTACTCAAAGCCTGGAGGGCACCGCCTCTTCATTCAGAAGAGAGAAGAGCTGAAGGCAAAGTACTATCAGGAGCCCAGGAAAGGAATACAGGTATTCCTTGTTTCATGCATTAATTGTGGGAAATTGTTGGGGGTTTGGAGTGGGGAAGGGCTTCTTTCAAAATCCAGTGAAGACAGGAAGAAAGTATTTATACTCTAATGATAGCTGTAGAATTAAACTGAACTATCACCATAATCACCAGACTTTTACTGCAACCATCAACATTCATTGCAACAAAGGGACTTTTTTGGTTACATAGGACAGAATTCCAGTAATTGAAACGAACAGGAAAAAAGAGTAATTCATTGGCTTACATAAAACATTTAAATGTAGTTGCAACTACAGCTACATTCAGGAATTTAAACAATGTCATCAATTTCCCCCTTCCTTTTTTTCTTTCCAACTCCCACTTAGTTTTCTGTTCGTTTTCCTACTGCTATTCTCAGGCATAGCAGCAAAGAGGACACCAACATCTCCAAGCTTAACTAGATCTTTTGCCCTCAGTCTCAGAGGAGAGAAAGCATTTCCCCAGCATCTGTATCTGTCTCTAAAACATCCATGTTGAGCATTTTCTCCCCTGAACTTGGGTGAACTTGGGTGCTCTGATGAGCCAGCCCAGAGTTTGTGCCCACTCCTGTGAAGAAGAGGCTTGATTGACAGTTCCACGGAGTGCATGCTGAGCAGTTCTGGGGAGGAAAAGATGCTGGGAAGAAAAATAAATTAAAAGGTTTACAACATGCCCAACCACCATTTCCTACTTTCACTGCATGGCTTTGGGGTCCTAGGCTGAAGAAGCTCTGCAGAACTATTTACAGTCCAAGGAGTCTGTGAGTGATGCCATTCTACAGACAGACCTGGTTCTCACCGCGAAGGAAAAGGAGAGGAAAGGTGAGAGGAAAATGGAAGAAATGTAAGATAGAACTTTCTGTACATTTTCAATTAATTTGGCCTGGCTTACCTGGGATCTTTAAACTAGAGCAAGGATGGCAAAGATGACTTTTTGCTCTTCAAGCTTTATCTGGGTGGGTGTGTACTGTCGTCTGAAAAAGCAAAATGGCCCCAGGGAATTTTCTCTATGAAGCAGTAATAAGCAATAAGAGCAGGAGACAGAAGGAAGGGACACTTTAATCCTAGAGGAGTTTGTCATTTTCTTCTTTCTCAGAAGCATATTTGAAAGCAGAGGCTGCAAAGGCTGAAGCACGAAGGTTGGAGGAGATTCAAAGGCAGAACCAGCAAATGATGGAGGAGAGGGAGAGACAGCATCAGGAGCAACTGGGACAAATGGAGACAAACAGAGATCAACAGCTGGCGCAGGAACAGATGGCTCGGGAACGTCAGCTCCAGGTACTCACCCGTTATTTCATCTCATCATTTTAATCACATCTCCCTCTCTGTATTGACAAACAGTGACAAAGAGGGAGAGACAGCATTACTTTATGGCTCAGGGCAAGGACTCTGGAGTCAGACAGCCTGGTAAGAATCCCAGCTCCACATCTTACTAAATATATGGTTTGGGCCAGTTATCTGTCCCTTAGTTTCCACTTGTGGAAAGTGGAGACAGTAACAATACTTCTTTTATAGGGTATTTTAATAGTTAAGTGAGTAAATATTTGTGTTTCGATTAGTGCTGAGCACAGAATAAGCACTGTACTTTGTAAATAAGGATATTTCTAACTCACAGTAGTCTTTTTTGTCAAGTGGTTAATTGCTATAGACAATCTCTTACTTTGGTCGTAGATTACTTTGTTAAATTGATTTCATATTATGTCCCTGTCTTTGCCTCAATTGTCACTGATTCTGAGGCTTTTAACTTGCAGAGTTTGTTTCAGCCAAGCCCTTATTATCATCATCACTGAATAAGCAGTAGTTCCTACGCAGCAAGTACTGTACAAAGTACTTTATGCGCATTCTCTCATCTAATCTGTTCATTGTGAAGCAGAACCATTATGTCTCCTTAAAAACATTAGGTTCCAAAGAGATAACTAAATGTCATATCACACAGCCTAGAAAGTTATCCAAACTGCCTTCCCAGAGAATGAGAACTGCAGAATTTTTATTCTGCAAACCTAGTATGAATTCTTATGTGAACACTTCCCCCAGAGTGACCAGTCTACCTGCAGGTCCTAGTTTTCCAGAAGCTCCAAGACATTTTTGTGAATACAGATCTACACTAAAGGGCAGAATGGTCAACCTGGGGTTCTTGCTCTCCTCAGTCTTTCATCCACTTCCGTCCTATAACTGTGGAGACCGGAAACAAATTTCCTGATCTAAGGCTCAGATGCCTCACCTAATTGTGGTTGTCACTTAGACACCCAGTTGTTGTATTAGCCTTTCCTCAAAGAATTAGGTCTGACATTCCTCTGTGTAGAAATGAAAACTGAAGTCAAGATGTGACTCAGATTGCCCAAGGAGGAAGGGAGAAGGGACCTCAGGGTGCAATTCTTGAAACACCAATCCTTCAGGAATTGAGAGATGGTGATGTTTCTGCAGCTAGAGAAAGAGATATGGGAGAATTGTTACTGATGGCTTAAAATAAGTGAGGATATGCCTGGTTTGGCTCAGTAGATAGAGCATTGGCCTGCAGACTGAAGGGTCCTAGGTTAGATTCTGGTCAAGGGCACATGCCAGGTTGAGGGCTAGATTCATAGTAGGGGGCATGCAGGAGGCAGCCGATCAATGATTTTCATCATTGATGTTTCTATCTCTCTCTCCCTTTCCCTCCCTCCCTGAAATCAATCAAAAATATGTTTTTAAAAAATAAGTGAGGATAGTCAATGATTTTGGCTTATCCTCCCCACCTTGCACTCCCAGTGATGTGGATATTACTTTTTGTTAAGCTCTTTAGTTTTATTTGTCACTCTTCAGGAAGAGGCTGCAAAGCAGAGGGAGAGAGAAGAGGCTGAAATAAGAAGACTTCAGAATGAGATTCAGCAACTACAGCAAGCAAAATCACGAAATGATGATTGTATCTTACTCTAAAGCTAAATATCTGAACTTCTTTTCATGTTCACTTTTCACTGAAGATAGAAAGAAACAAGAAACTATAAAACGTGGGACAATTACCATTTAAACAAATGTTATAATAATTATATCAAACTTTTGTATTGTTACTAACTTATGATGCCCATAATTGGTAAAATGTACATTTCAATAGTTTCAATGATGATTACTTCCTTGAAAAGATTATGAATTGTATAACAGAGGGCATTTGATCACTGCATTTATTTGGTAGAATAGTGGGCTGGTTCTCTCAGGGGAAACTTCCTCTTCTACCTCAATGCCATCCCTCTGATTTTCTCAGGGGGGGATTGAAAGTGACCTAGGGGGTGTGCGATTCACAATAGGCTCAGTCAAATGGGACTTGATCAACATCTTGTACTCACTCAGGTGGGCAGCACTCCTGTCAAGTGGTCATATGCTGGATGCCATTGCAGGGAGTCATCACTTTACATAGCTTCTTAGTGGCGACAATGTTCGATTCTCAACTGTGTAGAGGCAGTCAGTCTATGGGAAGTGATGTGACTGCTGGTCATGCTCAGTAGAGTTTGCTTAGGGAGAGTCTAAACTGTAAGCAAATAGCACTGTAATGAAGTAGAGGTGCTCTAGAAGTTAGAACTTCCGGTATGGAAATTGTGTCATAGGCCAAAGAGCTAAAGAAGCCTTTTCTTTTCTTTTTTTAATATATTTTATTGATTTTTCACAGAGAAGAAGGGAGAGGGATAGAGAGTTAGAAACATCGATGAGAGAGAAACATCAATCAGCTGCCTCCTGCACACTCCCTACTGGGGATGTGCCCACAACCAATGTACATGCCCCCTGACTGGAGTTGAACCTGGGACCCCTAAGTCCACAGGCCGACGCTCTATCCACTGAGCCAAACTGGTCAGGGCAAGAAGCCTTTTCTTTATGTTATCCTCATCAAGGGCATAACTTAAACAGGACTTTTTATATCAAAAAGCAGTTTATACTGAATTAAATGATTATATGCTATGTCTTTATAATCCTTTAGAACCTATAAATAAATGGGCTAAGGAATGCTAGATAATGTGTCAAAATATCTGATGGGACTCATTTTATTTTATGCTTGCTTATAATGGTAAAGTTAAACTATCTTAATTCTTTGCAATCATGTATGAAAACCTACTGATTTTTCTTAATATTTATGACTTGTATACATATATATTTGTACATATTTTTAAACATAAAGAACCATAAAAAGTTTTAAATAACTCTACCACTTTGTTTCCCCAATTGTGAAAAGTCTATGGGGAGGCCTCTTGAATTTCCCGAAGGGGATTAAGAATTACTTTAAAGACTGAAAATAAAACACATTTTATTGCATCTTTTTATTTGCTTTCTGTTTCTTTGTTTTATCTTCAGTAAAATAGGCTTCAAAAGTTATAGAATCATTACATAAATCTCTATTTTTATTTTCCTTAAATTGCCTACTTACTTATATAAGGAATTTCCCAGTTGAGTTATATGATAGGAACTTAAGCTTTTTCAGTTGCTCAAAATATAATTTACTTATTTACAAAAAAAAATGATAAATTTTAATCTTTGTCTTTTTTTCTGTTCTTAGGAGATGTTTATTATGCTGACTTCCTATATCAATAGGGCTCCGTGGTGCTCAACTGTATGTCTAGATTTAAACTGAACTTCAGAAAGTACCAAAGACCACAGCATGCTCGCCTGAGCATTTTCTTAATAGTACCCTATAATTGCCTTTGCAAGCTGTATAACTCATAAAAGATGCAATAAAATGCATCTTAACATTCAAAGAAATGTCTGGTTGAAAAGAACAGCACTATCTTCAAAATAAATACTAAGTTCATTACTACCTCTGTTATAGAGTTCAAAACACACACACACACACACACACACACACACAACTTGAGACTAAGCAAAATCGTCAGCTATCTAAGGTTCCAAGCTTGGTACTATTAACTTAGACCATATTACATATCATCTGATTTCTAGCTCAATACTTCTGTTATATCTTCAGGGGAAAAATAAAGTTTTTCTCCTTTCTGTTAGACCCTCAGAGGTTCATATTGTTTTCACCAGTGATTCACATTCTTTCCTACCAGCATTTCTGGCCTCCCCTCATCCCCAAATATTTTGATCTCATATGACTTTCTTATGAGGTGGTCATCAGGTACAAAATGACCAGAGAAGATGAACATAAGACAGTTACTTGAAGCTACCAAGAGCTAGACTACATTTTCTGACCTTTACAGTGCTGCTTCTGTGAGGTAAACTGATTAAGTTTTAAATGCAAAGGCAAGGAAACAGATTCTCCCCTACAGCCTCTATAAGGATGGCAGTCCTGCTAACACCTTGATTTTAGCCCCTGAGACTCCTAACTTCAGAATTGCAAGATAATTAACTTTATGCTGTTTTAAGCCATGTGTAGTACTTTGTTACAGCAGCAATCAGAAACAAATATAACTATTAATTAATATTATCAGTAGTTACTGAGACTAGCTAATATTGATTCAGAATTCATTGTGTGCCAGTTATGAGTTTTAATAATGTATTTGCTGTTCATAAGGACTCCATGAATTATAATTAACAATATCTACACTAATAAAAGACAAACATGCAAATTGACCATACCTTTGCTATGCCTTAAGCCACACCCACCACCCAATCAGAGCAACTATATGCAAATTAACCCAACCAAGATGGTGGCGGGCAGCCCCAGAGCTGGAGCAAGCAGGAGGCTTGGTTGCTCCAATGATGGAGGAAGCCAAACTTCCCACCTGCCGCTGCTGGCTCTGAGCTCCACTCAAAGCAACAAAGTTTCAATTATAGAAGATAAACAAACCCCAGATACCTGCTTTCAGCAGGCCGTGGCCACAGAGCTGGAGCGAGCAGGAGGCTTGGGTTGCCCCTGGTGACGGAGGAAGCCAAGCTTCCCTCTCGCCCGCCCTGGCTGGCTCTGAGCTCCTTTCAAGGCTACAAAATTTCAATTATAGAAGGTAAATAAATCCCAGAATAAACGAAAAAAGAAAAAAAGAGGCTGGAAGCTTCTGTCCCTGGGGGGCTTGGCCAGTGTGAAAACGGCCCTCAGCGCCTCACGCAGACTGGCTAGGCACCCCAGTGGGGACCCCCCACCCTAAAGTGGGTGTGGCCAGCCTGAAAACAGCCATCAGCACCTCACCCAGGCTGGCCAAACCTCCATGGGGTGAGGGTCCCCACTGGGGGCGGGGGGGACTTGACCAGTCTGCAAACAGCCATCAGCCCCTCACCCAGCCTGGCCAGGCACCCCAGCAGGACACCCCTCACCCTGAAGGAGGTGTGACCAGCCTGCAAACAGCCATCAGCCCCTCACCCAGGCTGGCCAGGCACCCCAGTGGGGGCCCCCACCCTGAAAGGGGTGTGACCAGCTGTAAACAGCCATCAGCCCCTCACCTAGGCTGGCCAAGCACCCCAGTGGGACCCTCACCCTGATCCGGGACACACTTCAGGGCAAACCAGCCAGCCCCCACCCATACAGCAGGCCTCTATCCTATATAATAAAAGGGTAATAAGCAAATTGACCCTAGCAGTAGGACGACTGGGAATGACTGGTCACTATGACACACACTGACCACCAGGGGCTAGATGTTCAATGCAGGAGCTGTCCCCTGGTGGTCTGTGCACTCCCACAGGGGGAGCTCTGCTCAGCCACAAGCCAGGCTGATGGCTGCCAGCATAGCGGTGGTGGCAGGAGCCTCTCCCACCTCCTCAGCAGCACTAAGGATGTCCGACTGCAGCTTAGGTCTGCTCCCTCCTGGTAAGTGGACATCCCCCAAGGGCTGCTGGGCTGCCAGAGGGATGTCTGACTGCCAGCTTGGGCCCAATCCCCCAGGGAGCGGGCCTAAGCCAGCAGGTGGACATCCTCCAAGGGGTCCCAGACTGCAAGAAGGCATAGGCTGGGCTGAGGGACCCCCCTGAGTGCACAAATTTTGTGCACCGGGCCTCTAGTTATTAATATAATTTATTACTATTATTTATTATTAAGGTTATGGTTGTTGTCTTTGTAAAGTAGAAGAAATGAAGGCATTAGAATTAAATGAATTGTGTAAGGGCAATGCCACAGAAAGCATTTTGAAGCTAGACACCCCACATTTATAATCAACTTATGATACTCTTTCTGGTCATACTTAGGAAAACATAGAAATATTGAATAATATGTCAAAATTTAAGGATTAAGGCCACAGTAGTGAAAATAAAAAGCATAGTTACAAAACAGTCTTAAATGATTTACACAAAAAGTGGACAAAAAAATCTCCAGAAAGAAGTGGAGAAAACATTGTATTGATTCTAGAATAAACTCATCATAGAACAGAAAGTCCAAAAAATAGACTGTTATGAGAATTATATAATTTAAAAATGGACTTTTTCCTGGGTTAAGTCAAATGGATGATCATTTGAACAAAGATAAAATTAGACCTGGACACAGTAAAAGACATCCAATTTGATGAAAATAATGAAACATAAAAACCATAAAAATTTATTTGAGGGAACCAAATGTATGTTTTCATAAACCTACAGCTGACTTAATTTAACAAAACCCAGCTGACTTAAATTAACAAAAATAATATTAAATGTGACTACATAAAAACAATTTATATCCTTACTTTTGTCAAAATAAACACTACAAACAAAATTCTTTAAAAAATGGTAAACTGAGCCTGGCCAGCATGGCTCAGTGGTTGGGCATCAACCTATGAACCAGGAGATCAGGGTTTGATTCCTAGTCAGGGCACATGCCCAGGTTGCAGGCTCAATCTCCAGTGTGGGGCATGCAGGAGGCAGCCAATCAAAGATTCTCTCTCATCATTGATGTTTCTATCTTTTCCTCTCCATTCCTCTCTGAAATCAATAAAAAAATATTTTTTAAAAAATGGTAAACTGGGAAAAATATTCGTAACTAATGTCACAAATAGCTAATTTCCCCAATACCAGTATGTAAAGTTCTCTTGAGTGGAAAATGACAAACAATGATATAAATAAGTTACAGAAAAGAAATAGTGTTTAAACACATGAAAAAATACTCTGCTTTAATCATAATAAGAAAAGTACGCTGAGAAATCATTTGTAGTCCATCATCTTGACAAAAATTCACAAGTTTGACAGTACATTCCACTGTCAAAGTTATGTAGTAATGAACACTTTTATCTTGTTAATGGAAATGGAAATCATTTAAACATCAAAAGAGAGAAACCTGATGATTTCTATTGAAGTTAAAGATTATAGACATCTCACGTAGTAGAATTTATACTGATATATTGCCTAAGGTAAGAGAAACAAAGAAAAAAATAAACAAATGGGCTTCATCAAAATAAAAAGCTTCTGCACAGCAAAAGAAACCAGCATCTGAATGAAAAGGGAACCCACTGTATAGGAGAACATATTTGCCAATGATACATCTGATAAGGAGTTAATTTCTAAAATATATAAAGTACTCATACAACTCAACAAAAGGAAAACAAACAATCCAATTTAAAAATGAGCAAAAGACCTGAATAGACATTTCTCCAAAGAAGACACAGAAATGGCCAAGAGACATATGAAAAAAATGTTCAACATAACAGATCATCAGAGAAATTCAAATTAAAATGACAA